GTAATGTTGTTTTTTCTGGGAAACTATTATTAGCGACTTGCGATGTTTTCTGTATGTTTACTTCACCGCTGATTAGCTTGTAGCACTGAAATTTCTATATCGTTGCGTCTATGCCCACTCCATTTTTTAGGGGCGCTAACGATGATGATGAAACTGATAAAGATGACGATCGTGATAACAATGCGAACAGTAATGTAAATTACGACAAATTTTATATACCGGACGACTGATATTGATGATAATTATCACGATCTAATTGTAATCAAAAGTGTAGTTATACATACGAATGTGAAAATTATGATATTTTCATATGTTGACAGTAATAGCTTGATGTAAGTCTCATCGATTGAACTGTTAGCGAGCTAGCTATTAACATGATCATTAATAATGATAACGATAGTTATAAAAGTGATAATGACGATAGTCATGATGTTTTTGTGCTTCTTTTCGTATGAGTCAGAATGTATGCCTAATTTGGAAAGCTGCTTGGTAGCAACTTCAGATGCCTGACGTATTGTGCTGTACGACCATAAAGTTTGTATAGCGGGTCTCTTTTCCTTCTTATGGTAAGGCAGGCTGTGGTTTAGTTATTCACTTCGCACCTTTAATATTGGTAGTTAGCAATGAAAAAGAGAAATTTCAAGTCAGTTTTTAAAATTTAGACTGTACCGATTAGATAAAGTTAAAGTCAGATGCGAAGCAAAGGCTGCTGTCGTTGTTGAAGCAATCCAGTTTTCATATTGCTGTATGAAAATGAAGGGTATGGTGAATGTTTTGACCCGGGCCATGGGTTACGACTAACACGTGTGTAGCAGTTAGCTTGGACAGCTTTCATCTTAGCTAACAACGGAGCAGTGTGCTTTCACGTGAAGTTTGGTGATAGAACTAGCAGTGAGTGTTTGAGTTAAATTGTCATTGCAGGTAGTGCTGTAGCAGATCTGAACTTGGTCACAGCAGCTGGCAAACGTCCATCACCCATTGCTTAGATCTGACGCACTTACACACAGCGCTGAAAATGCGTTCATAATTGAAACGTCATATTTATATTGAGTTGAGTGAGGGACGCACATCGATGCTGCATCATCTTCAACGTATTGGCAAAATACGCCGAGGTCGACGTACGTCAAACGGCTAAAAAAGTTTCACATTTTATTTCACTCGCTTAATGCTAGGATTAACGACTGGCATCGTATTGCATGGCTCACAGCGTTCTCCGATCGATAAGCTATTGAATATCCCGCCCTTGTCAGACTTGCTTCAAGCGGTTTGTCAAGAGATATGTCTGTGAACAGCAGTCGTTTACAAGCATGGTTTTTATTTTGCATTCATTATTAGATCGAATATTATTATTATCGCAGAGGCAGTGATCATATGTCACATTTTTGGCTAATGTTGTGTGAGACTTCTTAGCAAATATTTTATTCTATGTTTTTAATTGAAACACCATGGCAGAATGTACAGGAAACTTTTTAATAAAACTGCTGTCATAAAATAAATCATGCTCTATCCATTGTGTTTCAGCAATTGCGCCTAAATGCACATTTATTATTAGACCCTTGCTTTTGTAATTTTTCTTTTGGATGCTTGAACGCACGATCACAACTGGCAGCAGACGAAACAATGCCATGGTCATTGTCTTTTGTTGGGTACTGTTTTGTTTCCTCGGCATTCTCTTTGACATATTAATAATGAGGTTCGTCAAGATAAGAACAGCGAACTTCATCGAAAAGTAGCCGCTCACTTAGGTAATACGACGACGTTATGCAGCATGTCAGCCTTTGAGGTTCAGGTGCGAAAGAAAGACATTTTGACATATTGAAGCGCTGAACGATTGTTTTTGTTTAGTGACGCAACGGTTGTTTTGCGTGTACACCTTTACGAATTTTTGTTTTCTTCAAATAGTTAAATCTGTCTTTTCTAGAGCTTGGTATGGCTGCTGAAGGAGAAGTCAACGTCGATAACCTGATCGCCAGGTTGTTGGAAGGTAAAAATGTAATTTTCAGGTGTGATCTACGCATGTGTAAAGTTAGCAAATTCGACTCCTCTTAAATCTGATTTCAGGGCATGTTACACCTTTCCTTTGCGGCTAGTTGTTGAAGGAGAGGTTCCTGAGACATGCTTTTATGTGTAAAGCTTGAGGTAAAGCTTGATTTATGTTGAGTTATGGTGACGTCAGTCGGTCCTGCGATGTTTTTTTTTGTAAATGTTTGTGTTATAAGCAATAGGAATGAGTGTTTTAAAGGCAGCAGCGTTTCTTTAATGTTAGAGACGTGATGTATGCAGTCTTGTCTACTGCTTCCTTCCGCTTGTGGATGTCTCGTTTAGAGTCATCAGTTGTTCCGTTTTGTTTATTATAAGGGTTCATCATTTTCATATCTCTTCAGCTGCCAGATCAGAACATTTCATTATGCTTTCTTCAGGTCTAAATGGTTGTTAATTAATGCGCTGCCCATTTTCGGGTTTGCAGTCAGGCTGCTCCATCGTTTTCGATGGATTTCACTTAAACATTTTTGAAATTTAGTCGCTTTCTGACGTTCACAGCTCTATGTTGATTTCATGGAAAGTCTTTGCAACTGGTTCGGTTGTCGCACCTGGAGGTGACTTGTCAGAATTGCTTGTTCTGCTGGAAACCACACAGTACAGCCAGCAATTTTACTACCGTGGACAGTTTTCTGTGTAACTTTGTGATTCTTTGCTTGAAGTTCGCATATTCCGAAACAAATAATCACATCGAGTATCTGATATTTGTTCATTAACGCGTAAGATGTGGTCAGTTCAAAATATACAGCTGATGAGTGGGTTTTTTCATGTTATCACATGCAGATGTTACGGATTGCAGTCTCGGTCTGCTATACTTTTTACCTAATCTTTCAACGATGATGTTTTAGTGCGCGGATGTCGGCCTGGCAAGACCGTTCCTATGACCGAGAACGAAATACGTATATTGTGTAACAAATCCCGCGAAATCTTCCTCAGTCAGCCGATTCTATTGGAGTTGGAAGCTCCTTTAAAGATTTGCGGTACGTACTGCTGAACAGTCGTCCATGGCCGATTTTTCGACCAGATTTACAACCAATTTTTGTTTTTTCCCTTTTAGGAGATATTCACGGCCAATACAACGACCTGCTACGTTTATTCGAGTACGGCGGCTTTCCACCGGACGCTAACTACTTGTTCTTGGGCGACTACGTAGATCGGGGCAAGCAGTCGTTGGAGACCATCTGTCTGCTGCTTGCCTACAAAATCAAATACCCGGAAAACTTCTTCCTCCTTCGAGGCAACCACGAATGCGCTAGCATAAATCGTATTTATGGATTCTATGACGAATGTGAGTGTGGATCGTTAGTTGATTTAGTGTCATTTTCATTTGTTGATGTTTGCATTTGCGATCTTCACTAAATGTGCTTTAGCATGTGCGACAGGATCGGAATGCTAAAAATGCATCCCTGGGGAGGTCTGCGGAGCAATGGGCTTCTCTCTTCAATACAGTGTTTTACCGGAGATGCTGCACTGTAGCGAAACATGGCCTTTCTTACTGTACGAATCATAACAAGAGCCTGTGAATTTAATTGAGGCATACTACTACATGACGTGAGAAGGAATCATCCAGGTCTACGGCGAACTGACGGATTTTTTTAAAAATTGTTGCGTCCTCTCCCTTTTTGTATTCAGCTTCGTCATTGATTGGATTGTGCGAATAGCAGTTGAAGACTTCGCTAGTGTCCTAATTACTCCTGGTTACTACATTGCTAATCTTGATTGCACGGTCGACGTTGTCTTTGTATCATCAAACTAGGACTCAGTATATCTTCAAGCGAATCCTTGCCATATTTGTAACAGCGGAGCTAGTCATAAATGTAGCAGAAAGGAAGGGATCCAGGAACAAAAGATAGTACTCATCCTCTTGTATGCGAATTTTTTGTCTTTTCGTCTTGCCTTCGACCTGGAGATTGTCCTGCGATCCATGTATTACTTGAAGCCTAGTT